GTGTGTGACACTAATCATCTACTAAACTCAAAGCACCTGCACAGGTTTCCCCAGGTGTCATTAAATTGCTTCAGTTTGGTTCAATTGTCTCAGTTGAGTTCAATATGGGGAAGACTGCAGACATAACTGAACAGAAGACCATCACCAATGCCCTCCATAGGATGGGTAAGCCACAAAAGTTCATAGCTAAGGAGGCTGGCTGTTCACAGAGCGCTGTGTCCAAGCATATCAATGGAAAGTCTAGTGGAAGGGCAAAATGTGGCAGGAGAAGATGCACCAGCAAAAGAGATGACCGTGGGCTTCAGCAGATTATCAACCAGAGAAGATTCCAGAATCTGGCAGAGATCCAGAAAGAAGGGAATGAGGCGGAGTCACAGCTTCAAAAACCACCACATTCAGACACATCCTGGAGATGGGCTACAACTGTTGGGTTACTCGGTCCTCTTTTCCAATGAAAGTAAAGTGTGCCTTTCATTTGGAAATCAAGGTCCAAGTGTTTGGAGGAAGAAGGGTGAGGAACAGAACCCATACTGCTTGAGGTCCGGTGTGAAATATCCACAGTCAGTCATGATTTGGAGTGCAGGTGTTTGTAAACTCTGCTTTCTTAAATCCAAGGTCACTGCAACAGTGTACCAGAATGTTTTGGAGGACTTTATGATTCCGTCTGCCGAGGATGTGTATGGAGATGCAGATTTCATCTTCCGATGGGACCTGGCCCTGCCCATGCCGCCAGAAGCACCAAAACCTGGTTTGATGCCACAGTGCTTGACTGGCCAGCCAACTCGACGGACCTAAACCTATTGAGAATCTATGGGGTCTTCTCAAGAGGAAAACGAGGAGCGCCAGACCCAACAGCAAAGAAGAGCTGACAGCAAGCATCAAGGGCTTCCATAACTCCCAGACCCTGCCACAGGCTGATTGTCTCAATGCCACGTCGCATCGAGGCAGTGATTAAGGCAAAGGGATTCACAACAAAGTATTGAAGATTGACATATTGTTTTGAAAGTACCATTTTTTTTTTATTTTTAAATTTTTATTTTTTTTGTGATCCTAATTTCTTTCTTTGTTTTTCTGCAAAATATGAAGTGTGGGTTGATTTCTCCACAGTATTCTAATATTTTTTTTTTTTTTTTATCCTGTTTTCGTGGATCTCATGAACTGGAAGACCAAATTATGTAAAAATAAACAAATGAATACTTGAAACCGTTTAAATTGTAGGCCCTGAATCTATCATCTATTAAAGATTAACTGTTTGAATGTAATTATGGAAGTTAAACAACTTTTCCATGATATTCTATTTTTTTGTATGTATATAATGAGAGAGAATGAGGAACTGACCACAGTAGGTGTATAGTATAGGTTTTAATTACTTTTCACAGTAGCCTGCTGCACCATGTGAGCACAGTGTTGGTTAATCCAGAAGGTAAAAGAGAAGTATTTCAGGGTGTGACAATGCTAGCTGCAATGTTGCCATGTGTGCCAATGGAAAAAAAATAAATAAATAACTGAAAGGTTACAATCTTTGAAGGAATGCATTTTGTTTGTACCAAATTCATATTGCGTTTAAAAAATGAGAGACGATGATGTTTTGGTGATGCTAAATTTGTCCCGTGGTTCAGACAAGACAGTGGTTAGTGCTGTCACCTCACAGCAACAGCGTTGCAAGTTCACCTCCTGTCTTGGGGTCTTTCCATGTTGAGTTAGCATGTCCACTCTGTGCACACGTGGATTTTCTTCTGGTACTCCTGTTTCCTCCCACAGACCAAATGTAATGCACGTTTGATTAAATGGTAACTCTAAATTGCCTCTATGTGGCACTGTGACCATTCCAGGGTGTACGTCACCTCTCGCACAGCAACCATTGGAGAAAAACACCAGCACGCTCTCAAACCAGAAAAGAAAAACAAAATACAGATGGCTAGATGGATGCTTGATTAAATATTTTCTGTAAGACAGAACACATGATCTTGTGCGCACACAAACTGGCAAAAACATGAGTTTTACATCAATTTGTAGGTTTTCAGCTCGTGTTTTAAAAACTTGTTTAACTAAACTACGTTCAAAAATCGTCTGAAACACTCACTAGCAGATTTCAGCACGGACAGTTGAGATGGTTAAAACCTGTTTTTTTTTTTTATATATCAACCACTTTGCTCTGCTGCTACATCTGGTGGTGTGGCCAGACAGGATCACATTTGCTCAGTTCTGGGGACTCCTGTAGAACCTTTGGAGATGACTGCACAAAGAAGGATTCTTCATAAAATGAAGTACATTATAGACAACCCTCAGCATCCTCTTCATCAGCCTGTCATACAACAACAGAGTGTCTTCAGTCAGAGGCTTCTTCAGATCCGCTGCAAGAGATCCTTCCTGCCCACATCCATCATCTAGAACAACTTTTTTATCAAACCAGGACGATGACTTGCATTTAATTTCCCTTAATAAAGTATTTTTAAATTGAATTTAATTGTTTGATAAATGTTCCAAATATTATGTTATTCTAATACAAGTTCTGTACGATTTACTGAAGATTAATATTGCACTACTAAAACAGACTCCTCAGTTTGTATGCCTGACGTGGCGTGAAAGACGTGGACGAAAAAGTTTAATATTTAATAAAACAGATGGACAATAAGCTGCTGCAGGAGGACATTTAGCTGCTGCAGGAGGACATTTAAACACAAAGAAAGAGAGAAAGAAAGACAGAAAGAAAGAAACAAACGGAAAGAACAAAAGAAAGAGACAGACAGAAAGAATGAGACAGACAGAAAGAATGAAAGAAAGAGACAGACGAAAAGAATGAAAGTGACAGACAGAAAGAATGAGAGAAAGAAAAAATGAGAATTAAAAAAGAATGAAAGAGAACAAAGAACAGAACGAAAGAGACAGACAGACAGAACGAACAAATGAAAGAACAAAAGAAAAAACAGAATGAAAGAGAGAGACAGAACAAACGAAAGAACAAAATAAAGAACAAACAAATGAAAGAAAGAAAGAGGGAAAGAAAGAGGAAACGAAAGAACAAATGAAAGAACGAACAAAATACAAAAGAATAACGAAAGAAAGAAGGAAAGAAATAACTAACGAATGAAAGAACACTGGCACCACCCCAGCACCTTCTTTGTATTTCTCATCCTTTAATCCTTTTTGAATTAGGAGCATTTTGTAGCTTGTTCTCCTTAATCTTAGCAGATTAGCAGATGTTGGATGCTGTCTATCACGGTGCACTAAGATTCATAACTGGCTGTGATTATCGTACCCACCACTGCACCCAGTATTCACTGGTTAACTGGTCACCATTAACTTCACACAGACTCTCTCACTGGTACATTTTCATCTTTAAATCTCTTCTTGGTCTGCTGCCTTCATACATCTCCTCCTACATGTCTCTGTGTGAGTGCAGCTACAGCGTGCGCTCTCAGGACATCATTACCTGCAGTGTTCCCTCAGTGAGGACTGAACTAGACAAAAGGACCTTCTCCTACTCCACTCCTGTTTCCTGGAATATCTTGTAAAAACACCTGAAGCTCTCAACCTGGACTTCTCTAAGTGACTTTAAGAATCTGTTGGACTCCTGCAGGGACCATTGCAGACATGTTCCTGTTTTTAGTTTTCTACAGTCGCCTTATAATCTAGCTGTTTTTGTTACTCATTTGCCATCTTATTTTAATTTGTAAAAAAATATATATAAGTACGCCTCTTTTATAACTGTTTATTGTTGTTGCTGTTGTCCATTGTTGTCATCATTCTTTGTTGAAATCAGGTCTCTCGTAAATGAGTCCTCGAGGCTCAATGGGATTAACCTGTCTAAATAAGGGTTCAATTAATCTGCAATAATTCTAAGAAACTAAATCGAAGGCAACTGGAGTTCGCAGACTTTTCGTTTCTCTTCTAAAGATCTTTTCTAACTCCAAATAAACGAAACAAGATTATTTCTCTTTTGAAAAGTGAAGTTTCCTTTTTAAAAGGACATCCAGTTGGTTTGGATTAAACATTTCAGAATGACTGTGCCCTGGATTACTGAGAATCTACACCAGCCTCATTTGAACTGCTAAATTCAAACGAGACAGATTATGAAGATTATTCGGAAGTTTACACAATTTCCTGAGATCTTAAGAAACGTCTGTGATGTACTGTATTTTGACCAAAATCAGCCAGAATGAAAGTGCAGTTCCGTTTTAGACCCGACTTCTGAGCTATTTTCTTTATAGTTGGTTTTAGATGTAATGTACAACTCAACTGGTGTCAGTCTTCTCACATAACCAGATTACACTCCATAATCCTTGAAGTATATATTACCAAATAAGAGAACCTACATAATCCAACCATACTGTTTAAAATAATCACCCTCTGCAAGCTGAGTCTATTTAAAATGACGACAACGACAACAAAAAACCAACCTAAAATTAAAACTATTAAACAAGAGTTTAATTCTCAAATACTTACATTTCTCACATCAGAAGTGTGGCCATGGAGGGTTAAAGATCTCTCTTTTGGTTAGTCTTGTTTCAAGTCACGCACTGACTAAACTAGTCCAGTATTTGCAAACATTTATTAACAAAACATCCACGAGTTGGGTTAATGCATCACTAGCTCACCTTGCACTTTCTCCATGAGATTATATTTTAATCAGGAATAAAAAAAAAAACTGCAATGAAGTGACATGAGCAAAAAAAAATAAAAATCCTGACAGAACTCCAGGACCTGGACCCGGACCCATCAGAAGGCAGGCACATCTAGTCTAGAGAGTACAGCTGTCATCGTGCACGGATGACTTGGTTTTATTCTGTTTTTTTTTTTTCTTCATTCAACCTTTATTTAAACAGATAAATCACACTGAACCTCGAAGACTCATTTACAAGTGAGACCTGTTTGGACAGACAATAAAGTGGTGAAAGTGACAACATAGGTTTTGGAGGCAAAAAAATAAAAAAATAAAATCCTAACATGCTCTTAATCTTTGGCTGAAGATTAAAAGCATGAAAATGAAAAAAATAAACTTGCACACAAGCACATAATGATGCCGACATTCCGCAGGGGGGATGCAAGGGTTCAGATAAAATCGCTCAGTTCACATAGTTCCCTCTGGAGCGATCAGTACACTCTTTCGGGGGGTGCCGAGGTCGGCCAAGGACGACATCGGATAGAATCCAAAGAGTCTTGAAATTATAACAGAATGTTTATTCAGCTGGGCTCCTCTGATTGGTCTTTAGACTTCCTCAGTGGGAGATGGGGGAGGGGCAGAGCATCAAGGTTTACAGAGCTTCCAGGTGAATTAAGATAAGGTGGCCTGCCAAGGCCAGTCAGGGAGTCGAATTCAGATAAACACAGTTGTTTTGGGAACAGGCAGAACTTTACTGATTATGTTTACCTTGAGTCTGTGTTGGTCCACTCTGTTCCGAAATGTCCAAATTTAATGGCCACAAGATTGGAGCATGCCTGAGAGTATTCCCCAAGATCTGATCCATCCTGCCAAAAACATGTGAGTCTGGGTGCTCGAGGCACGAACCAAGCCATCACAAAAGGCAAGCAGCCTGACTAGGGCTAAATTTGCTGCCGACGACTTCCTTGTTTGTTGATAGACCAGGAACCAGCCGAATCCAAAAAGCAGGAAACCAGTTATCATAAATCCAATTATATATGCTTTCTTAACATCCACGGTTGACAGCAGAGACAGACACATCATCAAGCCTTCAAAGTCGATGAGATATCCAGCTGCGTGCATGCCAACAAGGCAAATCGGCCCGCCTAAAGCCTATCTACTTTTCAGAGAAATGTTATCAATTGTGTTGAGGGACTAACTGAGAAAATCCATAGCAGAATTATGATTCAGAAGATTTGTAGAAGAGGCTCTCAAGCAGTTTCACAGACAGGACAGAGCAAAGCGGAGAGGGAGAGGAGGGGAATGACATCCGCCCTTGACAAGAGCAAGTGCTGAATGAATTGTTTGAATTTCACTTTTACTTAAGTTTTAAGATGCTAATGTTATTTGTGGGCTAATTTTAAATTATGTTTACCCTCTTTTTTTATTATGTATGCTTTTGGTGAAGAGCTGAGCGCACAAGTACAACGAGGAAATCAAAATCCTTCATTTCTTGCTGCAAACAAAAGACAACAATAGAATTTTCTAATGTAAAATAATTGCAAAATTACAAAAATAACGCAAAGACGTTTTGACGTTTACTTTCAAAGTACAATGAATGCAGCGTGATTTAAAGTTAAAGATTTAAAGGAAAACATAACTTTCTTCTACTTTCTCTTTGCTTAGTGCTTTTCTTCCTCTGAAGCTGCACATTCAAAGAGAACATGTTAAATCTTGAACGCTCAAAGCAGAGTAGTTCTTTTAATTGGTGACTTCAGACAGCTAAAAGAACGTCCTCAAATACAAAAAACGCTTCTATAATGTTTTTGTTGCAAATTGACCTTGCAGTTAACGACCACCGCTCATCAAACACCGACCGTATTCAGCGACGTCCTCAGTTGATTGAAGTACTACTACAGATATTTAAATACAAGCTTGATCAACTTGATGGGCATCATCAGGAGCACCATGCACATAGATCAGGAGATGGTTAGTTTAAAATGCCTCAATGTTTCAATCAATATACTGTATATATGGCGGGCCGTGCTGCGGTCTCGTATCCTGAGGTGGCAGGTTCGAGCCCAGGTTGGGTGATGAAGGCACCCGGCGTGAAACAATTGCCAAATACTTCAGGCATGTTCAGTCATATTGAAATGTAGATGTGACTTGTGGGTTTTCTGAATGAAGCGCACTAACATTCACATTTAACTGATTTTGATTACTGTATTTTTTGGACTATATGGTGCACTTAAAATCCTTTAATTTTCTCAAAAATCAACAGTGAGCCTTACGTATTAATTCTGGTTCTGTTTACTGACCTCAACCCCATTTTATGAGGTACATGGCGCCTTAGTCTGAAAAATACGGTAATGACATTGAACATAAATACACCGATATATCTGTACAGGGGCTGCGGGGTATTGAACACATATACAGTATATTTGTTTTTAGTATTTTATCTTGTGTCATAATGTTGATTTTATTTAATCACTTTTTTAATTTTCATTTTATTTGCATTTTGTTGCAGTTTATCATTTGTATCTGTGGTTTTGTCTAAAAAAAGAGGTCTCTCTTGTAAATGAGTCCTTGTGACTCAATGAGACTAACCTGTATAAATAAAGATTGAATGAATTGATAGTTAAATTATTATTTATGAATGTTTTTTTTTGCTAACTTATTATTTTTATATATGAATGTATGTGACTTGACGCTTTACAAATGAACTGAATTGAATATAAAACAGACCCATTGTGGGATGAGTGAGAACTTATGACACATGTAAAAGTTTATTGAAGAATAAACTTTTCTTAATCTGAACTGGTAAAACTGTTCTAGTCGGTTGAGCGTGTGTGAACACACATTCTTCCTTTTGTTAAAGTCTGCCGTTCTGGTTTGACAGACTTCTGCTGTAGTACTGATTTATTTTAAATAGTAAAACACACAATTTATTTGTACTCTTCAATTTTTATTGAAAAAATGAAATAAAGAAAATAAAAAACACAACACATCCATTCCTTCTAACACAGGTTATTCAACTGGTGGCCCGGGGGCCAAGTCAGGCCCAGGGGTGAACTCAGTTCGGCCCACCAATGGGTTAATTTTTAAATAAAACTAGATTTTAAACCATTAAACAAATGTACTTAATGACAATAACTGCTGGATGTCCGGCCCCTGAGCTCTTGGTATTCAGTAACTGTGCCCC